AACATGTTTTTAATTGCCTCAGATTTCTTTATAGGAAATAAAACATTTTATATACTTGAGGCCCCTTTCCCTGGTCCAGTTCCTCTCCAGTTCTCTCTCCCCAGAGGTGACCATTATTTTGTAATTTTACTCTCATCTTACCCAATGTTTTGCAGCCCACTCATGAAAATACCTGATACGACTTTTATCACACAAAGGCTTTATGAAATTTTCATTCACTATTGTTACCAGAGAAGAATTCTTTGGTGAGTGGTTTATACTAACCAATTAATTACAGTGCAAGCAGGAAATTTGGGAAGGATGGCTTTTAGGGGAAGAAAAAAAAAAAAAAAGGCTAAGGAACTAGATCTCTGAAAGCCCAGGACACTCCCAACTCCAGGAGATCAGTTTCAGGGAGACTTTCTCTGTTCTCATTATGATAAATTTGCTCAAACTCTGTGCTTTCTTTTTGCCACTGAAGAGACTGAAATGCAAGAGTCCGATCGCCTTTACTCAAGTTTTAGGTTCACCCTTTGGCCAGTTATAAGAGGACACTTTGCTTGACTGTCCCAGCAAGACTGCAGGCTTACCTGGTGTGGGGAGCACAGGCCAGTGGTGGAAGCCTCAGGGAGTTGAGTTAGGACAGAGATATTTAGGTGGGGGCAGTGCATTGGTAACATTCTTGTTCTTGGTAGCTTCATAGGTGTCGGTTTTATAACTTACACAGATGTTACATTATTCTTCTGCGTGGGAGCAAATATATTTTGAAAATAAAAGTCAACTTTAAGACAACAGTAAGGAAAAAAAGGTTGCATACAAAGAAAGCTTTTAGTTTCTCAAAGTAAATTTGTGGTACTGCTAAGAGAAGGCAAATAGATACTGGGCTGAAGAAAACAGACTGTAACATCTCCAACAGCCACAGTGCAACTGAGCTATCTAATATACTTAGCCCTGTTACAAAAGAAAAAAAAGTTTAGGCTAGTCTCAGTGACCCTATGCTGGCTGTCCTTTTTCTAAGTAAGCACAGATTTTTCCTTCACTTGCCTGTCTCAGTCAGATTTCATTTCATTTCAAGGATCATAAAGCCACTCAGATAAGCTTAAGGAAAAAGGGAAATTAATTGTGCAAATATTGGGGTCTCTAGCAGAACTTAAGGAGAGTAAGAAAAACCAGGCGCGGAAACAAAAGCGTACTGCTGTCACGGTCACCAGGGGAGGGTCAAGGATTCACCTGTTCTGGAGGGCTGCTCTTTGGGTGTCTGGGGACAGAAATAGTTTTCTAAAGTAAACACCTGAATGGGAGGAACAGTGGGGTAATATACTCTGTAGCACCTTCTAGAATCTTACATAAACTTGATGTCTCATTTACCACCTAGAATTTGCAGAATCCACCTTTTCCCTCCCAATCCTTAGACATTTAATGGCAATTATTCAGAATGCTTATGGCCTGGTTTTTATACCCACATATGTTCAGAAATAAATTATTTCTTAATGTATTTATTTGTTATATTCCTTGATTCACTCCAGAAAGGATTTCATTTGGTCTTCAACAGTTCAAACTTAATTGCTTGTTTTCCCCAGACTCTCAGGTATTATTCAATAGATCTTGGATATCTCAACTGATCTAGAGTGCCTGGGTGGTCTCTTAAATTTTTTTAACTTATTTTTTACTTTCTATTACATTCAACAGCAATCTACTCAAACTAGCTGAAGAAAAGGAAGATTTATTAGAATCACTGCACAGGTCAGGTTACAGCAAGGAACCACCACAGAAAGCGATCGTTTAAAGCCCCAGTGAAGTGGCGTTATCAGGGCTGGGAGGCAGGCGTTAGGCCAGAGACATTGTCTGAAGGTACAGTTGTGATGCCGGAAGTGCAGCTGGCAGAAAGGTTGCTTTTTCCTTAAGTGGAATGGGACAGACAGGAGAGGCATACAATTGAGAAGTTAACTACAACAATGATGTTTTGTGGTAAAGCAGATAAAACGAAGGGAAGGGGGAAGGTTGTGTCAAATGATGGTTTTTGTATAAATTCACCTCTAGGCTCACCTCACCATCTGTGAGCTACTGAAAACAAAACAAAACAAATAGATTGAAATTGGCCTACCAGAAAGGATAGCTTTATTTATTTATTTATTTATTTATTTATTTATTTTAAGATTTTATTTATTTATATGACAGAGGGAGAGAGAGAGAGCACAAGCAGGGGGAGTGGCAGGCAGAGGGAAAGGGAGAAGCAAGCTCCTTGCAGACCAGGGGAAACCCAATGTGGGACTGGATCCCCAGACTCTGGGATTGACCTGAGCCAAAGGCAGTGACTTAACCAACTGAGCCACCCAAGCAGGCACCCGAAATGATAGCTTTAAAAAGAACAGTGTGAGAGTGCTCCTCGAAGAGGAGGCATTAAATACATTGCGGGGGGGGGGGGGGGGGGAAAAAAAAAAAAAAAGCCTGAAATTAGGCTGAAGTCTTTTTACCGTGAAGAATGGAGTCCAGGTGGGGTGCCTGGGTGGCTCAGTGGGTTAAGCTGCTGCCTTCGGCTCAGGTCATGATCTCGGAATCCTGGGATCGAGCCCCATGATCTCGGAATCCTGGGATCGAGCCCCGCGTCGGGCTCTCTGCTCGGCGGGGAGCCTGCTTCCTCCTCTCTCTCTGCCTGCCTCTCTGCCTGCTTGTGATCTCTCTGTCAAATAAATAAATAAAATCTTAAAAAAAAAAATAAATAAAAAAAAGAATGGAGTCCAGGTCTTAGAAGTACTTAGCTATGTGGAAAGGGGTGGTTTCCTTTTCTGTCACTTGCCACTTTTTCTTACAATGCCATCTTCTTCCTCATTTAAAAACAAACTTTCTAATCTGTTGAATTGCTGGAGTCTTCTTTCCAAATTTCAAATGGGCTGTTAGAAGTTTGTTAAAGTGCTAACCTTTACGCCACTGCCTGGGTGGCTCAGTCAGTTAAGCGTCTGCCTTCTGCTCAGATCATTATCCTGGGGTCCTGGGATAGAGCCCCACATCAGATTCTCTGCTCAGTGGGAGCCTCAGCTCCTCTCTGCCCTGCTCGTGTTCCCTTTCTCAGATAAATAAATAAAATCTTAAATAATAATAATAATAATAAAGTACTGACTTTTGGCCAGCACCATTTAAGAGGAGAAAAACTGAAATGAGTAACTGCTTTTCACCATAAAGAAGGAGGGAAGGAGGGAAGAAAGGAAAGAAGGAAAGAAATGGAAAGGGAAAGAAGAAAGGCTTAATTCTAAGAGAAGTCATGCTGGGATGACTTCAAAAGCCACCAACACTTGGCTCTGACTTTACATTCAGATGTGACCTGAGTAGGGGATGGAGAAGGGGAGGAAATAAATACCAAGAAAACCTTTCCCTATGTAGATAATTCTGGATTAGAGGAAGAAAGCCTCTTTAGCAACACTTGGGTCCCTAGCATCAGTCAGAGGGGTACAGGTAGAAAGGTAAGGGTCTCTCTGCCTTCTAAGGGCCCAACCACTATAGACATCACCAAGGCCATGTCTGCTGCAAGAACAAGGCCTCCTTTGGTCCTCCTGACTTAGACAATGTGTGTCCTCTCTGTTAAACCTTAATCTCCGAGGAGAGTCCCAGAGTTTCTTCTCTCTGGGCACACTTGTTCTATTCAAAGGAGAAAAGCAGGCTGCAAAAACTCCTCACTTTTTCATCCTCCAGCACTCCATCAAGTCTTCCGTTCCTAACTTGGGGCCTGCATCTGCTCATCTAGCCTTCACAAACTGGAGTGGTGTCTAGCACTGCCAAAGAAGGAGAGGTACCATTAGGAAAACCATCTCAGAGTGATGAATGGAGAAGAGTTGGTCCAATGTCTTGGTGGTCATTTGAGAAATCATGGCTTTTGAATCCTGAGCAGAGTAAAGAAGAAGAGGCATCCAGTTAAGCTCAGCTATTATCCTGGTGAGGTTGGGAAAAAGAACCAAGCTCTAGGAGCCACTGGTTTCATGGAGCACATCATTCATTCATTCATTCATTCATTCATCAACATTTATGAAGTGCCTTCTCTGTGCCAGGTACTGTGCTTATTGCAAGAGACACCAAACAGATGTGGTTCCCGTGCTAATGGAGCTTACAGTCTAGCAGTGGAGACAGATGTGATATACAACATAATACAAAATGTTCCTCGGATTTAGGAATAGAGGCAGAACAAGCTAGCTTGCAATGCTGGAAGACTCTAAACGTGGGGGAGAAATTGCAGGACCCGAGGCATCCCAGGTTTAGCTGTTTTAAAGAGTAAAGACGTTTTCTTTACTTGAGTAAGGAAAAAGGCTGGCTTCTGAGATCTTAGATTCTTAAATTAACTTTATATTCTAAATAAAATGCCAGATTTGGGACATGTCCTTTTTATGATTTTTGTGGTCAGTCTGATTCTTTTTAAACTCTAGGTTTTGTGTGTCATCATGAGTGGTTGGGAGGGATTATTGTGTTTGGTTCAGAAATTTCAGTAAAAGGCTAAAGGTATTAGGAATACTCAGGGAAAAAAAAAAGTTTAGTATTAGTAATTATAAGAAGATATGTCAGGAAATACTACACACAGGAGATTTCTGGGGGCAACTACACTGAACAAAAAGAAAGTTTATGTGCTGGGGCGCCTGGGTGGCTCAGTGGGTTAAAGCCTCTGCCTTTGGCTCAGGTCATGATCCCAGGGTCCTAGGATCGAGCCCTGCATCGGGCTCTCTGCTCAGCGGGAAGCCTGCCTCCTCCTCCTCTCTCTCTCTGCCTACTTGTGATCTCTGTCTGTCAAATAAATAAATAAAATCTTTAAAAAAAAAAAATGACCATTTCCATAGTTAAATCATGACAAACGCAGAATATTGTTGTAGATTTTAATTTTTATTTATATTTTAGAGAGGCATAATTACATTTTGATTTTATGTCATTTCTTATGGAATAGACCTGTTACTCCACTGGGATTGTGTTTCCTCAGTAAGCTTTGCAATTTGTATTGATATTTGCTTTATCTGTGCATGTTCATAGGATGTGTGTGAACTAAGGCTCCCAGTGGAGGCAGAATTGCTTAGAGCTTAAGAGCTGGTGCTTCTGGAGTCAGAAAGATCTGAATTCAAACACTAGCTCTATTTTCTAGTTGCATGACCTTGGACAAACTTAAACCTGCCAAGCCTAAAGCCTCAGTTTCCTAAACTGTAAGATGGGGGATTAGCCTGGCTCCTACCTCTAAGGCTTGCTGTGGAAATTAAACAAGATGCTATGTGTAGAAACAGTCCCTGACAACAAACAGTAGCTCTTATTTTAAGTAAGGCCTGTTAGATAATGTTTTGTGCCCAGTGACATAGAGCCCTGGAAGATAAATCGAATTTTTATTTTCCAGGGATGATAACTGAGATCCTTGAGAAATTTGGGTGGGCTCTTCTTTGAAGACTGCTAAAATTTTAAATACGGTGGCACAGTAATTGCAATAGATGGAAAGAACTAAATATTTCCTTTTGTTTTTGTTTTTGTTTACACAAAAGATAGCAGTGTTCACAATTATTTAGGTAACACAGGAGAATTTCAGAGTATTTATGTACTCCTGACTTGACTTGTTGAGGTTTCTTAATGTGTCAGTGGAGAAAAAGAGAACAAGAGCTCATTTTTAGCTCTAAGTCACCGCTGTGCCGTTTGCACTAGGCAGTCTGATGATACCCTTTTTCAAAATGCGGTTCATCAGAATCGCACACGTGACTTGTTTAAAATTCAGATTCCTGGCCCTGACCTGTGAAGAAGTCTCTGAATTTCAAAGAAATATGCCAACCCAGCTGATTTGTATCAATACCCGAGCTTAAGAAGGACTAGACCACACATGTATGAGCTATACCCTGGGTGCTCCTTCTGTCAAGTTGTGCTTATTATTTATTATATATTATATACTAATATATACTACTAATAATATAATATATACTAATATTATAAGCACAGGTTATATATGTGCTTATTATGGTAACTTGGGTGAGACATTTATGGGACACACCCTAACATCCTCACAAGACCTAAAACTTTTTGTTCTCTATGCCTTAATGACCATTCCAAATCACTTGATTAATAATGATTTGTGGTCTGCAGAAACAATTGTCTTCCCCTGCTTGTGCTGGTAACAGCTAAACTGTTACCTTATCCTTGTTACTGTGGTAGGGCAGGGGGGTGAACAGATGTATGACTGGGGTCCACAGAGAACCCCTGGTTTACACAAACTTCTCCATGGTTCAGCTTACTAAATCTGCCCTTTCTATCCCCAATCCTTAGTGTCTCATATATTCCTGGCGTATATTCTCATGATATCCCCAACCTCCCTATGCCAGAGCCTTCTGTCCCAATCACTATTCCAGGTTCATTTTGATTACATCAGGCCACATACCTGTGATTGCTATCTCACACTGATTCTAGAAGAAATTTGTTAGCCATGAAGGCAGTAAAAATTATATTTTCATGTTCCAGTTTGTAAATAGAAAAGGAAAGGCTGTGTACAGGTAGAAGTGTCAAAGCAAGTTACAGGGTAGGGAGAAGAAGGAAAAGATACCTATGAAGCCAGGGGAGAGATCTCCACTTTTATATTGCCTGAGCTTCGTGGTTACAGGCAAAGAAACGCATGAGCCATGCTGGCAGATGTGATGCCTGCTGCCCCCAGTGTGCTGAATCTGGGAGTACTGAGCTTGCTATGCCATTTTCTACTGCCCAGACAACATGACAAATTTTGATATTTGAAGTTCTGTGGTTTCAGTGAAACAATGGTTATTTACTCTGGATTGGAAATATTTTTAGGCGGTCCTCCTAGCTTTACTATAAATAGACATTTTATTTTTTTAAGATTTTACTTTTAAGCAATGTCTATACCCAATGTGGGGCTTGAACTTACAACCCTGAGATCAAGATTCCCATGCTCGACCTAATGAGCCAGTCAGGCGCCCCTGAAGTAGATATTTTTAATGTGGTACATTTGGAGATTGCAACTCGGAAAAGCAAAATCTCTTCAACTTGAATCGGCTGGTGTCTCACAAAAGAAACCTGTCCATTTAGCCTTTTTATTTTTTTATTTGTATTTTTTTTTTAAGATTTTATTTATTTATTTGACAGAGAGAGAGACACAGCGGGAGGGAACACAAGCAGTGGGAGTGGGAGAGGGAGAAACAGGCTTCCCACTGAGCTGAAAGCCCGGCACAGGGCTCAATCCCAGGACCCCTTGATCATGATCTAAGCCCAAGGCAGAAACCTAATGACTGAGCCACCCAGGTGCCCCTATCTAGCCACTTGAATAAAATCAGGCCTGTGTGCTGAGATGGTCCCACCCACACTCCAGTGCACACCAATGGAATTACACAGTCTATACAAAGCAGTGGTTACACACATGGGCTTTGGAGTCAGATGTGGGTTTTTGAGGCCAGGCTACACCCCTCACCAGATGTATGAACCCAGAGAAGTTTTCTAGCCTCAGTCTCATCAACTTTAAGGTAGGATGATAGTAGCTGTGGTGAGAAGGGTAAGATGATGGATAGAAAGCTCTTTGTGTTATGCCTGGCATTCAGTAGTTCTCACTTGGTGTTCTTTCCTCTTCTTATTCTGTTGCCCCCATTTTTGCTTTGTACCTTGTCCAAACCTTTTTTACACATAACCATGTGGTATGTCAAGATGTGCCTAAGTCCCTATTCTTCATTTTCTCAATTTCATTTTTCAACAAATATTTCCTGAGTGTGCGCTATGTGCAAGGGATTATTCTAGATGTTATTTAAATCAGAACACAACAGATAAAAATCCTTGTCATCATGGAGCTTACATTCTAATGAGGAGGGAGCAATACAATAGACATTAAATAGAGTAAGTAAACCAACAGGATACGTATTATAGAAAAAGAGAGAACTGGAATGGAGACTGTGGTGGGGGGTCGAGGTGTTCCAGTTTGAAACGAGATGATCAAGATAGGCCTCACTCTACTATTTTAACACAGAGAGAGTGGGAAATGCCTTTCTTCCAAGTTGTACAGCACTCACTATCCTTGGGCAACTTTAAGCAAAAATGAGAGGCTGGAATGCCTAAGGGAATTGGAAGCTCATTATTTTATTTGTTTCTTTTAAAGATTTTACCATTTATCCAATAGAGAGAGAGATCACAAGTAGGCAGAGAGGCAGGCAGAGAGAGGGGAGAAGCAGGCTCCCCGCTGAGTGGAGAACCCTATGCGGGGCTTGATCCCAGGACCCTGAGATAATGACCTGAGCTGAAGGCAGAGGCTCAACCTATTGAGCCACCCAGGCACCCCGAGCCTCATTCTTTAATTTTTCAAATGCAACAGAAAAGCAGCAGAAGGAACTCAGTGATACTTGCCCATTCAGTGGCAAGAGCTGTTTTTATGTGTTTTCTTTTTGACCTGACTCAGCTGTTGTGTCTAAGGTCATCCCATCTTCATCCCTTGCTCCCGTTGGATTCTTGTCTCAGGACCTTGGAGATGGGAAATAATAGCTATAAATGATGAGAAATTAAGGCTTCTTGTGCTATATCTCTGTGTTTTATATAACAGAAATCCTTTGCAACTCAGGGAAACATGTGACTTAATTATAAATCCATAGTTGGGTTAAACTTTAGACAATTTCTATGAAAACAAAGCAGCACAATTTTCCTGAAACCTGATACAGTAGGAGCAGCCCTACAGTGGGATTCAGAGTCCGGGGTCTGCCCCAGCCCTGCCACTAGCCATCATTCCACAGTTCTGTGTCCAAGACTTTCTCACATGTGAACTGCGGGTGAGAGGAGGTATCCCTTCTACCTCTTTAATTCTGTGAGTCTTTGAAAAGCTCCAAGAAAATTTCTCTCCTAGAGACTAAAGCAGGTATAATGTGTGGGCCTCTAATCTCTTGATATCTGCTTTATTGAAAACTGCAATTAAGGTGATTTGTCCATTTTGGGATGGGAACGAAAATGGAGTGGTAATCTTCCTCATATTATTTGTGCCTCTTTACCTTTCATGGTATAAATGAAGGGGAGAATGCTTTCTTATTCCATACTGCTCATCAGCATTTTTTAAAAGAGATCTTACATTTATTTGATTTATTTATTTCTTTAAGTAACCTCTACCCCCAATGTGGGGCTTGGACTCATGACCCAGAGACCAAGAGTTACATGCTCTACCAGGCATTTTTCCCATATTCACGGAATTTCAAGGACTTACTATCAGATTTTATCTATCAAACACTTAAGATACTTCACTATTTATAAATCTAAAGAGACCTAGAGATGGCAAAGTCCTGTCTTCAAGATCTCCATTTATTTTTTTACTTTACCATTATTATTTTTATATCAGAGTTAATTATATTAGTAATACATTATAACATAAGTAATATATTCTAGCCTCCATTTTACATGGAAAGAAATTGAAATGCCAACAAAAGTCTGCGAAAAATAAAGTCAATCCACTCTGTAAACCGGGACCTTTCCTTAATCTTTTAAACTACGGATTCGCAAACTCCTGCCTGTAGGCCAAAGCTGCTTTCCCTTCCCTTCTTTACCCCACAAACAGTTTTTATATGGTTTTTACATATTTTTAATGGTTGAGAAAAACCAAAAGAGTAATGTTTTGTGCCATGTGAAAATTGTATTAAATTCCCAGCTCAATGCTGATAGATAAAGGTTGAGTGGAATACAACCACTCCCATTATTTATGTATTATCTGCTTATATACATGGCTACTTTCTCAAAAATAGCCGAGTTGAGTAATTGTGACAGAAATCATATGGCCCATAAAGCCTAAAATATTTACTGTCTGTCCCTTTGCGGAAAAAGTTGCCAATCCCTCGTTCAGACCATATGGGTGTCCTTGTTAGGGGTCTAAGGAGAACATCTGTAGACTCATGGCATTTCAGTTCTGCCTTATTTTACATATACTTGCACATGGTACCAAGAAAACTACACAAGTCTTCTCCCATCAGGCTGCGTTTCCTCCTTTATGGATTGGTTACTTGTTGTTACTTGTTATTCATGGAAATCCCTATTTGTTCATTCATTCACTCCTCAAGTCCTTATGGT